CAAGTTACCTTCCTGACAAATCAACCATGGTGAGATTTTAACTCAGGTTTCATGGTTAGAAAGTGAACATTCTTGCCGCCTGTTCATTAGTATATATTCAAAGGTCAATATTAGCCATTGGGTGATGATTATATTACTAAAATAGATTTATTTTAATTCCATTCTTCCTTAGGTGCCATGCGTGATGCTATTTAAAAAAACAAGACCCAATGTCATAGGTTGATGTTTTAGTTTTGTGGCATCTTGTGGTATTGGGGAAAACTATTCCTACTGCAATCTATTTTCTTATAACCTCCTTCGCTATTATATCCCATATTATGTTATATCATATCTTATACTATTCTTCTATGTTCTGTATATGTTCCCTTCAGGAAGCTGTCAATCATGGCTCTCCACAATTTCCTGTCCTTTGTAGCTCTTAATAACTTTTGTCTTTTTGCCATTCCTCTCAAAGCTTACTCTGTCATCCATAAACTCAATATCACCAGGTAGGTTATTGCTTCTCTTACCTTCACTCTGTCCTCTGAGTATCAAATTTACCAAGCCTTCTTTCTGCAGTATGTGCCTCAAAAACTTCAACTGTCTCTTCCTGATGTTAAGTGGAAGTGTTCTTTTGTTGCCATTGTCTCTAGAATTTTATCATTGCTCACATGTTCAGTCCATGATATTCTCAGCATCCTTCTGTAGAGCCACAGTTCTGTTACTTCAAGTCTCTTCTACATAAGGATATTGCCCAGAATTCACTGCCATATAGGAGGATTTATGTTGCACAACAGTTCAGTACTTGTTTATTTTTTTCTAGCAATATTTTTCTGTTTTCTTAATACTTTGCTTAGCTTTTGAAGGCACTTTCACTATCCCAATTTCACCTTCAGTTTGTCACACTTTTCATCCTCTGTTAATACACTTCCCAGATATCAAAATCGTTGTGCCTGTTTGATTTCAGTATTCTTTGCTTATGTACAACAATTTTCCTAGAGAACTCTGATATTAAACTGACCCTCGGATGAAGTACTGGGAAACATATAAATAAACTTATGTTTCTTTACCAGGTATTATGTTAATAATGTACTTTTCAAAGAAAATGTAATTTCATTTCTTACCTGTAACACAGTTTTTAGCTTCAGGTCTGCATGCACATATATATCCATCATGAAATTTAAGACACTGTTTTCCATCGTTACAACGATTTGTAATACAGGGAACACCTGGAATTCAAACAAAAGGATAATGGCACCAAAACTTAATTAAACAAAATTACACGTCTTTCTCTATTAAATTTGAGAGGCTTAGCAACTGAAAAAAAATCAGCTTACTGATTTCACAAATTGGAATTCATCTTTCTTTTAAAACAGTTAAATAAAAGAAAAAAGGTTTCTCATGTTCCCTGTTATTGCTTTTATTTATTCTCGTAAAGAAAATGGTTTCTTTCCTAAGTATTTGTTTGAAGTAGTGTGGAAATTCAACATCTTGATTGTATCATTATTTTTTCTGAGTTGCATGTGCTATTCATTTTAGTTGTTGCGACTTTTGAAAGTCTTCATTTTGAGATGTTTTCCTGCTATTTGGAAAAGTTATTTGTGATTCTACAGAACCAGTGTATGAGATCTGATGAAAGACAGTTTTCTTTACGGCTTACAGGTTTTATTCACCGGAAGACATTTTGAATCATTCATTATTTTTTTAATCTGAGAAGAAAGTTGCATGTTGATAAGGGAGACATTTCTGAATTTCTGGGTTTCAGCTTCTAAAATGAAGGCCAGAAACACTTTCTGACAAGCTCAGCAGGCTGTGGTTTCAGTGTCAATTTGAAATGGGCATTATAATGGTTGGTATCATGTATCCGAGGATCCCCATCTATTAGGATGGCTACCCAGTCTATAAGATCTGATGAAAGACAGTTTTCTTTATGACCTACAGGCTTCATTCACCTGAAGCTATTTTAATCAATAATCTAAGAAAACTGTCTTCAGGTTCAGTTCTGCATACACATATGTATCAATCAATCAGCTTTCCATCTTAATAACAATTTGTATCTAGAATCCAAAACAAATAGTTAAAGATCCAAAATATAATTAAAACAAATTATACATGTTTCTCCATCAAAATTGAGTGATTTATCAATTGACAAAAATGACTTACTGATTTCACATGTTGGCCCCTTAAATCCAATTCTGCATGTGCATTTATAGCCATCTCCTACATCTGTACAAGTTGCACCATTCTTACATGGTTTCAGTCCACAAGCATTAACTGCAAGAACAAATAAGCAGAACAAGGTTTTACTCCACACAAAGCAGACATATTAGCCCAACACTTACCAAACCCCAGGTAGATCTTGTGACCTGTTGGTTCAGAAGCACATCCACATATCGAGATCTCATGTTAGTATAAGTAGCAAGATTGTGTCCATTGTCAACTTGCTAGGCCTGTTGCATATCTTACAGCACCTGATATTCCTCAGTAGTCATTCATCTGATTACTGACCAGGCTCAATGTTGCTTAATTCTAGTAATCTGAGAAACAGTGTTTCAATATTGATATGGTCATAAGCACATTGTTTAGGTTAAAATTTCAGGTTCATAGGAGTGTTCCCTATTAGTTATTGAGCATCTGTTGAGACAAACTGTGTGGATATAATAATCAACATTGAATTGTTACTGCCGGTTTCATGCCTCAATGCAATCTTGAGGCCAGATCGCATTGAAGCATGAAACTGGCAGTCCCCGTGTTGTGTTGTTACCTATGTCCACATTGTCTGTCTGTCTGCCTGCATAGGAATACTGGGAGATATTTGTACCAGAGTGGTATCAGAAATTTCAAAATCAGTCATATTAACTGGCTAAGAGATGAAAGACAACACCAAAAAGTGTCAGCAAATATTCATGTGGTTATGTCCCAAGATCCTCACTGTTGCACAATATGTGGACTTGTATGCAGGTCACTAGAGGGACTGAAGTGTCACGTATGACACAAACATAAAAACTGAATGAGGTTGCCAGATCTTCATATGCCAAAATCGATAAGGGAGTCCATCATATATATATATATATATATATATATATATATATATATATATAATCACAGACTTTATATTCTTTACACAAACTTCTTATAAATGATATGCATAATTATTATTGCCAAAATCTACAAATGTTTATAAAAAACAAAAAAATGGAAAATATAAATAGATTTTTAAAATCACACTTACCAAATTGACAGTCAATTCCTTTAAAACCAGGTTCGCAGGTGCAAATATAACCATTGTCTTTATTCGTACACAGGGCTCCATTCTTGCAAGGTTTGAGACCACAAGCATTCACTACAAAATTCAAGATAACATATTTCATTTTGAAGAACAATAATTCTTTAATGACTGTATATTAAAAGATCAAAATAACAAATCCTTCTGTAAAAAGTGAAGATTTTTTACTAAATGTTAATGCCTCTTATTCCAGGAGCATCACATATCCCACATACAAGTCCTTAATTGTAAAACTTTAAAATGTAATAAACATGGCCGATTTCTAATAAATTAAACACTACATGACTTCTGTGAGGACTGGCACTACAGAATCACAAACAAACAACTGTGCCAAATAACAGAAACCACATCACTTGACGACTACAAACAGCATTGATGGCACAAGTTACTTGAAAAGAAAACAATAACACCATAAAGATGTTGCCACTGACTGTTTGGTCAATGCATGCTGAATATTTCCATATAAGGAAATGGCTAATATTACCATTATTGTTACCATTTTATACTCACAAACAAAGAAAATATAAATTTTTTGCATCCTAGTTAATCTAATTAATGGTTCTCCTAAGATAAAGAATCCTGGAATAAATATTCTGTAGTTGGAGCACATACTGATGAACCCTCGAACCTGTCTAACAGGGTGGGAGTGGCTACAGAGCTTATCACTTTTATTTTATCTGTATCTGCCATGATTCCCATAGTACTGATTTTAAATCTTAAGTATTATGTCTCTGACTTTAAAAAAATAACATTTGGATGGTTTTAACTTCAAATTGTGTTTCCTGAAGCTGTTGAAAAACCATTTAAATATATTCTAAATGGTGTTCTATGAAATCAGAAAATATGTCCCAGTCTTGTGATTGTTCAAACCCTTGTACTAAGCCCAAAGAGTCCTGCCAGGGCTCGAAGTGGGGTGCTGTTCCTCACTTTGAGATCACATGCAAGGTAGATTTATTTTTGAAGTAACCTAGCTTTTGCCTAAAGAGGCAAGACCTACAAAGCAGCAGGTGGTTTGAATTCAGAGTTTTCATTCTCCTAGACTGGTTGCCAACCAAGACTATAGGGCCCAATCTGTCCAGCTATTTACCCATAAATGTAAGAGGGAAGAGATGCATTCATACCTTCCCAAAGGTATTATCATATATTTGAATGCAATGAACTCAATTGAAATTCAAATACAGATCTAAGCTATCCATTATTCCACCATGTCTCCATCAGTTTGCATTTCCCTCACACTAATGTTGTTGGGATGGGCATCAATTCACTTTTTTCCGTTTATAGTAAATAGTAAGCTAGTTAGACACCATTAACATTGTAAAGGCAATCCCATCTTTGGCATTCAATAATCATTGAGATCAGATGGTGTCCCTCGATCCCTATACACAATCCTTCAATCTGACATTGGGTGGCATGCCACTAGCATTTATTGCTGGTGCCCTGCTGTTAGATCACTGGCATGTTTGTCTCAGCAATATTACCAGTAGTGGATCACCAGAAGTCCACCAGTGGCTGCCACCAGAGGACTGCTTGTGTTGCCATCGGCAGCCTGCCAGCAGGCTACTAGCAGCTTGTGTGCAGTGATACTGGTGACATAGAACACAATACAATCTGTCACATTATTTTGAGAGAATCTTCAATTACCTGAGAAATTATATCAAGGGGAACCATTCAAATAGTCTATGGAAAACAAAAAACTACTCAAAACTTTTGAATATTCTTTTGATATTTGCCTTACCTTCAATGCAGGTTTTTCCCATAAATCCAGGTGTGCATGTGCAGATAAACTCTGTTCCGTCATTTGTGCATTTGGCACCATTCTTGCATGGTTTCAGTCCACATGGATTGGCTGAAAAAAGGAAGAATAGAATTTAGAATTAGTAAAAAGCATTCATTTATTTTCAAAAACATCTTAGTTATAACCATGTTCAGCCATTAACCCTTGTAAATATATTTTTACCCATATTGCAGAAAATGGATGCATGTAAAATTAAAACATTTACATAACCATTCAAAATAATTTACATTTGTAGATATTTTGAAACTTCTTATGACTGTCAACAGAAGGTATCATTTGCCAATTGTTGTATAAAGGCCTTTTTGAATTATAAATCTATTCATGATTATTACCCTGACTTTGCTGTTTGCCACTATATCTTACCAGCAAATCCTTCTATTGCATCTCACCAGTTGCAGCCCGGTCTTTTTCTATTTCCTTCATTATCAATTGGGCATTTATTAACCAACCCTATGCACTATTTATTATCCATTCTTTTTGCTGAGTCTCCCATATGTGTATGCAGAACTGAACTATTTTTGTCACTTAATCAATTCTATGATAGACCTTATTTATGGTGACCCCCTTTCTATTTATTAAGATTATCCCTAATATTCTTGATGGATTTCTAAGCTTATATTCAAGCAATTTTGTTAATTTCCATGTTTTACAGTCATATCACATAGATGGTCTCATACATTCATTATGACAGTCATTATTGTTCTTTGAATTATCATATACTTGGAATTTCATTGGCCATTACATCTTACATAAAAATATTTTCCCTAGTGAGGGTAGTGGTTGGTTTTGGAACTCTTTAAAAACTCATTTTACTTGCAACACCATCACTTGACAAGACACGAGAAGTGTTGAAACAAAATGGCTATTTTTGTAGTGATGTTATAACATGCTAATGTCATAATTTAAAAAAAATATTTTTTTGCTCTACTCTGTATTGAGCACTTATTTTAAAAATAATGTTTTCGGTTACTGGAAGTTTATTCCATCTATACCAGCCTTGTATTCAAATACATTCATTATATTCTACCTTTTAAGCATATTGGCAAAAAAAATTTCATTATATTATATTATTTTATGCAATTCTTTCTGAGAGTGATTTCCTTTTTCATAGAATGAATCCACCTCTTCTCCCCCAAATATGGGTTAAATAGACTTGTATCTGAAAAAATCATATTTACCTCTAAAAATATTATTAATGCAATATTCACTCACAAAAAAAGAATTATTCTTACACTCAAAAATATTTTTCAGCTTTAAATACCCCACAAAAGAATGAAAATCATTTAAAAAAAAACTAATTATAATATATCCCTTTTGCTCTTTTGAGGTATGTGCTTATATATCTGTCATAAATTTTTTCCTCATGCCTGCATCTCAGTTGCAGCTAGGCCAATCATGTATGTGTGCACTAGGCGTCTACAAGGTTACCTGAGGCTTCTCTGAAGCACGAATGCAAAGTCTGTTCTGCATTATCTGAGGTGAGCCACATACTATACTCTCACTACATGTCATTTTATTTCTTTTTGATATTATTTCTTTAATTTTATCATCTGCTGTAAGTAAATATATTCCTAGAGTTCTTCCAAAGATGCATTTTTAATTAGTTTCCATAAATATTGATTCGTTTTATATGGTTTATCAACTCTTTGCTGGTTGTTTAAAGCCAGGAAATATTGTAAGAATTTTTTATGATAAAAACGATTACTAATTAACCCTTAGCTGGGAGGCCAAGAGGCGGATTCACATCTTTCCCAATGATATTTGCACGTAAGTGAATATAACGAACCCAAATGGAATTGGAACTCGGCTCTCTGATTGAAAAATATAATTCATTATTCATTACACCACACGCACGTTTAAGCTTACAGCAACGGGCACCTAAATGGTCACCCATTTAGGTATTGACTAGATTCGACGTTGCTTAACTTCGGTGATCGTATTGTATTTGTCCATAAGCATTTTCATAAACAGGTAGCAGAACACAAGTACGTGGATTGGTGAAAAAACAAACTTTGGTAAGATTTATAAATCAGTTCGTTGAGTAGGGCCATGATCGCTCACGTCCTGAATGGACACATGGAAGAAATTACTAATACACATTAAAGGAAATTCAATCAAGTGGAAATGGACATCTAACCTTATTTTTATTAGGAATGTTTTAAATTAATTGTATTAATGGCACTCGCCAGGATGGTAGATGAAAGTGAGAAAAAATGTCTATCATTTGTATGGTCATCAGAAAAAGAAGAAAAAAACGCATGATGCGAGTTGCGAATTAAACATCAAGCAGGTACAGAAATCCACGTCTCTGGGAAACGTTTTAACAGAGGATTGAATTCGCAACACCGAAATCCGAACAGGCATTGGTCTAGCGAAAGAAGCATTCCAAAACCTAAGCAAAGTGCTGAGAAATGAAAAAAAATCGTTAGAAACAAAGACAAGAGTACAAAATTGCTATGTGATATACATACTATTACATAACAGTGAATGTTGGACAATTTCCATACGGACGAAGACAAAACTAGAGGCATCAGGAAGAAAGTTCTAGGATACTGAAAATTTCATGAACGGAACGAATAAGCAACATGGATGTCTTAAAGAAAATGGGAACAGAAATAAATATTCAGAATCAGGTCACATAATGGGGAAGGAGGGCTTGAGAAACATAACACTCCCAGGGAATAGAGCAAGTGAAATAGGGAAAGGCAGTGAGCTACTTACTTCACAAGTTTGTATGAATGGATGGCGAAAAGGTGAAAGAGGCCTTAGCGAAGGAAGAAAAGCTGCTAAGAACCAAAAGAAATAAAAGGTTTTGGAGAGCCATTATCGCCTAAGTCCTGAAGACGAATGCTACTATCAGAATATATCACTATTATTAAATATAAATTAACGGAAGCACATTGGGATGGCGAAACATGCCTTCCAAAATATAATCAAAGAATGAATAAGCAGGATAATTTTGTTACAAAAAAGTACAGTGCTGACCTGCTATTTAATATCAGTCTTTTTACATGGCAGCGAATGCTGAACATTTTCCCCACATATGAAGAGGAAACATGAAGCAACAGATATAGCAATACAGAAGACTTCTGAGAATAGCTTGGAGGGAACATGTGGGCAACGAGGAAGTTGTAAGAAAAATGAAAACGAAAAGGATCAGAAACAATCTATATATAAAATTCTGTGACTTCCGTTAGTCCGTCCTCACACCCTCTAAAATAACCACACATTAACCAATCGAAACCAGATATTGGGGAGAAGTGCGAACCGGTAAAGAGGTACAATGTACCGTTGGTTTTACAGTTGGTGTGTGGCGTAGTTCAAGAAATTTTCATGATTTTTTTTTAGAAAAATTAAGTTTTATTATTTAACATACAACATACTCCCACTATTATAAGGAATAATTTAATAATTAAAATAAATACTTATTTTTTTAAAAATGCAATATTACTTTTTGCATAACTCTTCTTTAAATTTTTATATACAAGAATCCATTTTTCAATAAAACCCTGCGTTTGCGTGTACTATAAACAAATCACAAGGCTAAATACTTCAAAATGTTCGAATTTGGCTCCAGAAAGAAATATTTATGCATGATCAGTTGTATGTTGCATGTTCAAGAGTAAGAAATCCTAAGAATTTATTCTTCGCTGTTAAAAATGAAAAAAATAAATTTTCTTAAAAAATATTGTTTACCATGAAGTCCTATAAAATGAAATGAAATTAAAGATATTATGAAGTAGGGTTTTTCTCAAAGTACTTTTCCAAGCAAATCAGCTTATTCAAATTTCAGTGGTTTAAAATTCTGGGGCACAAGATAAGGAAAGAGGGCTTGGAGAATTTGACACTCACAAGACTTACTGACAGCAAGAAAGAAGTACAATTGTACATGGAATCAAGAAGAGACAATTCGAGTAACTTACCCAGCGAACTCGTGTAAATGGATGACAGAACAGGGAGTGGAAGGGATAAAGGCAAATATTGCTGCGAAAGATAGGAAGTTGTGGATAGCCACAATCGCTCATGTCCTAAGAGGACATGATGCATAAAAGTATAACGATGCATTTATCCTTCATATGTGAACTTTGTAGACATTGAAACATAAATATGCTTTATTAATTAATGTTTTTATATAGGAGTGAACATTTAAAAAAATAATCACTTATTATGAAGAATGATAACCAATGTATATGTATATAATATGTATAATGCAGTACTTTTATACGTACGTTCTACACAAGTCAATCCCATGAAGCCAGCTGTACATACGCATTTAAATTTCTCGCCATCATTGAAACATTCGGCGCCATTTTTGCAAGGTTGCAAAGCACATCGGTTCGCTGTAAACATGAAATATATATCAAGTTATTTTTGGCTCTCATATATATATATATATATATATATATATGTGTGTGTGTGTGTGTGTGTGTGTGTGAGAGAGAGAGAGAGAGAGAGAAAGAGATGAACTTTTCACTTGTGTAAAGAAGTCGTATAGAAATGTTTTAAAAGTAACATCCATATAAATTCATTAAGCAATACAAAATAAACATTTGAAATGTCTTTACATATTTTGGAAATTACAAATCAAATTACGTCCCTGCATTGCATGACATATGAAGATCTTAATTAATCGTTACTGAAGCTTTCCAATAATTAAATTAGACAGCTTAGATAAATGATCAACTTACGTTCAATACAAGTTCTTCCCATAAAGCCAACTTTGCATATGCATTTAAATGTATCTTTATCATTGACACACCTGGCGCCATTCTTGCAGGGTTCGTGTCCACAAGTATTGACTGCAAAAGTAAGAATATCAAGATTCAATTCTATTTCAAAACATAAATCTCAAAGACTTTAATTAAAAAAAAAAAGAAACATTGAGAATTACTCAGAGTAAAGTGTTATGAAACAAGACAATTTCATTAGAAACAAAGAAAAGTGTGTTGAACTCTTATATGATATCGGTCCTTCTATATGGCAGTGGATGTTGGACGATCTCCTCACAGATGAAGACAGGTAAGGCAACAGAAATTTGGTTCTACAGAAGGGTGCTGAGATTACCGTAGACTGAATATGTGAGTAGCAACGAAATTTTAAGAAAATTGAAAACAAAAAGGACACTCATAATTAGAATCAGTAAGAAACATTTGAAATTCCCAGGGAACATAATGTGGAAAGAAGGCTTAGAGAATCTAACACTCTTAGGAATATTGGAGGCAAGAGGGAGAGTGGAAATTAACGAATAACCTACCTAACGATCTTGTGTAAATAACAGAACGGTGATTAGGAAGGATAGTAAAAAAGCAACATTTATTAACAGCTACAAAAGGCAGAAAGTTGTGGAGAGACATGATCCTTTACTTTTTGAAGGGACATGGCACATAGAAATAGATGGATATAGATTTTAATGCACGACGTACTTTCAGAGCAAATTTTTCCTTTAAACCCAGGCTTGCATTTGCAGAAGAACTCTTTTCCTTTGTTAAAGCACTCGGCTCCATTTTCACATGGCAACAATCCACATGGATTAGCTGTAAAAATTAAAGATAATTATTGTTATTAAGACGAATTAAATATTGATTATTATTTTACATTGTTAAATTGCTTAAACTTATTAATCAAACAGATATAAAATCATGCACGGCTCTTACAAGAACAACAGTGATGCCTCGAACAAGTTCCTATTCAGATAATGACCCTGGGTTCACACATGGCTTTCCCGGTTATTGTATCATTACCACTAAACTAGGGTGTAGTAGTAGTCACTTGCAATACCACCAGGTTTTATATAATTCCACATTAAATTACATGAGTATATCATATATTTGATTAAAATACATATCTAAATATTTATTCTTAAAATAAATATCTAAATATAAATATCTAAATATTTAATTCCCCGTTAAATTACATGAGTATATCATCTATTTGGTTAAAATACATATCTAAATATTTATTCTTAAAATACATATCTGAATATAAATATCTAAATATTTAATTTCCCGTTAAATTACATGAGTATATCATATATTTCCTTAAAATACATATCTAAATATTTATTCTTAAAATACATATCTGAATATAAATATCTAAATATTTAATTCCCCGTTAAATTACATGAATATTTCATGTATTTGCTTAAAATACATATCTACATTTTTAATAGCAGTCTATCAGACTTCTATTAAAAATGGGTATATTTTTAGATTTATCACCATATACAACAGAAATCAGAATTATACATTTTATAGACGAAAAAGAATGCATCGAATATTATGCTTTTAAATTTGATGAAAATGAACTGAATAAATGAATGTTATCTCTAACGGCCACTCTTCTAGATCTTTTTGCCTTAGTGTCATCCATGTCTTTATACATGGACCTACATTGTTACTAATTTTGATGAACGACCTTTCATCAGTTCTCAACTTGGTATCTATACTGACAACACAACCATTAATACCTGTCTTGATGGTAAATATAATCAATTCGATAATGTCAAAGTAGCAACTGATCTAAAAAATGACATACAATCTTTTAACTGGGGCAAAAATTGTGCGTTAATTTTAACACTTCCAACATAAAACTAATCTCTTTTGACGTACCAGAGGACCTTTCTTGCCCTACAGCAGTATGGCTGATGCTAACCACCAGAGAAGTGACATAAAAGGGGAAAGCTTATATTGAATCAATTGTTAGGCCTGCTGTTAGGAAATTGTGTTCGCTGTGTCGTGCCAGACAAATTCTCTCGCCAGGATCTCTCTTACATATTTATAAGTCTACCATTCTACATACATTTAATATTGCTGCTAAATCTGTTCTGGTGATTCTGCTATGTATTTAAAGATTCCTGACAAAATCCAAAGAAGTATCTGCAATGTTATCGGTGCTATCATGGAATCTCAGCTTCAAACACTTTACCACTGACGTAACGTAACTTTTCTATGCCTCTTCTATAAAAATTTTGGTGACAAGTGTGCTGATACGCTTCCTTTTTTGTACCTCGACTTCACTAATGCAAATGGATTGGCGGTTAGGTCTCATTCTTTTATTCTTAAAATTTCGATATGTAAACGCAAGTTCTATGCTAAAATAGGGTGGCCACTGAAAAACTGAATGGATTGAAACAGCCATAACTTGTTCATTTTCAATATATATTTTATTCTTTTTTGCCGGTTATGGAGCATCCCTTGGAGATTAACCCTTGGAGTATGATGTCTAGCAATGAGTAAAACTCATTGAGGTTTTCTATTCCAATGAAAAATCAATTATTCAAACTCAGAGAAAATACCGGCAACATTTTAATGTCAGACTAGCGATAACATGATTCGAAACATAAATGCCCGATTTGAAAAAACTGGATCAGTCTGCGATAATTCCGGGAAGAGGTCCTAAACGCACTGTGCGCGCTGATGCAGCGGTGGAAGCTGTACGACAGAGTGTCCTTGAGAATCCATCAACTTCTACCTGTCGTCACTCTGCTCAACTAGCCATCACCAGAACATCGCTTCAGAAGATTCTGGAACTGGATTTAAAAATGCTTCCATACAAGATTCAGATGGTCTAAACTTTTCCACCCCAAGTAAGTCATGTTTTTGTAAAAGTTATTTTTGTTTTATATCTTTGTATTTCAGTGGCCATCTTGTAGTTTCTTGTTTCTCACTATAGAACTCTCTTCCGGCTTCTTGCTTTCCTATTAAATACGTTCAACTACGATCTCCAAAAATTTAAATGTAACGTCAATCAACTTCTGTTTCCTTGGGTCTTGGTCATTTATTACCCTCTCCCCGCCCCTCATTTTTTTTGTTTTTTGTTTCTTTCACTCTTAGTAAATCATTGTATCTTTTTGCCTTTATTTTCTTGCTTGGGTTCAAATGATTAAAAACACTGTCATTAAAGTTTCGCTTAAATTCTACCTATGATATCGGGGTTTATAAAAAGCTACTTCATAACATAAATATTCTCTCCGCGATCATTTTTAACAGTTTTCAGAAAATCAAATTAATTCAGGCGAAAATAAACTAAGAACAACATAATTTTAAAAATTGCAACAGCAATTTTCAGTTAAAAAGTGAAAAAAAAGAAAAAAAACAAACTCACGTTCAATACAAGTCAATCCCATGAATCCCTCTGTGCAGACACACCTGAATTTTTCTCCTTCATTGAAGCACTTGGCTCCATTTTTGCAAGGCTCAAGTCCACATGAATTGGCTACAAATTAAATTTAAATTTTAAAACAGTTTTATTTGTAAATTTAGAATCTCTCTGTTTATGTCAGTTATATATATATATATATATATATATATATATATATATATATATGATAAAGAACACATAAGAAACGTTTATCAATCTAACATGTTTCACTTTTATTAAAGCTTCATCAGAGAATGAGATATGGAGAAAAAGAAAGACATTTTGGTATTTTTATGTTGTTTGATTTTCATTGGTTAATCAGGTTTCATGTGTATTCAACTTGTTAAGCAAGCGCTTGTATAATTTATGGCGTTCCAAATTCAAGGAGAGACGACGCGTCCCTTGAAAGCTCAAAGATATTAACGGATTTAATGCCCACCTGAAAAGCCGAAAATATTGCTTTTTTTTATATAAGTGTAAAATAATTCGAGTATGTCTGTGTGGGATTCAGACGATAATGTATATTTGTAAGTATGTGCGTTTAACAAGTTTAATAAGTCGGATGCAGATGAAACCTGATTGACCAATGAAAATCAAACAACTCAAAAATAAAAATACCTGAATGTCTTTCTTCTTTTTCTCCTATCTCATTATTTGATGAAGTATGTTTTATAAAAGTAAAACATGTTAGACTGAAAAACATTTTTTTTTTATCTATCATTCTCTCTGATTGTAATCCATATCCGATCTTTATTTAAATCCAGTTCATATATATATATATATATATATATATATATATATATATATATATATATATATATATGAAGAAAAATATATACGAAAAAACAAACAAAAATCCTTATATATATTAAAGAAATGATTATACAAAGAATCAATAAGTAATGTTAATGTAATTAATGGTGAAATCACTTCGCTAAGAAGACTTAATAAGATATTAACTTACTATTAAATCCTTGAATAACGTGATCATTATAGTTGAATTGTTGTTAGATGGAATTAATGATTCTGGGTCTCGTACTTTCGACAATTTAAAATTGTCATCTTCAGGACGTAATATTCCCATTCACAAGTAAACTCCAAGATAAAATAAATATTACACCATATCTTTTTTACCGTTTTTCCTTTCTTTGCGTCTTCCTAGCCTTTAAAATTAATCTTAAGCCAGTTCCATTTTGATTTTTCTTGTTAACCTGATGGATTTGAAAATCCTTATAAATTAGTTTTAATTTATAAAGTGAAATAATGATTATCAATATTATAGATTAATCCTAATTCCCATTGTTTACAATATATATATATATATATATATATATGTATGTATGTATATATATATATATATTTCTTTTATTTATATACATATTTCTTTTAGTAATATATATGTATATTTCTTTTATTCATATAATATATATAATATATATTTATTAAAGACATTTTTATTTATGTTTAACGTTGTTATTTTATAGATACAAGTATTTAAGCAAATGCTCTGTTTATGATAAACAGTTTAAATAACATTTAATTGACCTGAATGTCGATAAATTTTCATAGGCCGATTCGTTCATAGACAGTCAGCGTACCTGATCCTACGGAACCGTCATATACGCATGACGTGCCTTAACCACTCAGCCATGAACCGTTGAACCTTATGTCTATGAACGAATATTTTCTATGAAAATTACATTCAGGCCGGTAAATGTTATTTAATACTGTTTATCATAAACAGAGCATTTGCTTAAATACTTGTATCTATAAAATAACAACGTTAAACATAAATAAAAATGTCTTTTAATAAATAAATTGTCGGACCTCGTCCATTTCTTAACATAATATATATTATTAATATACATATATATTTTGTTTGATTAATAGGTATATATATTTATTTGATTGATATACATATACATTTATTTAATATGTATATATATATGTATATATATTTCTTTTATATATATTTATATTTGTTTTATTGATATATATATATATATATTTGTTTTATGAATATATTTATATAAATAAAATAAAGGATGAGTGAGGAAAAACTTGTCGACAAGGCGTTTCGTTCTTTGAAGAAATTTATTAAGGCAAGTGTAGAAATTTTATATCTATTTATTATGTATTTACGCATAAGTGAATGCAATGAACTCAAGTAGAATTCGAACCCGGCTCTTCGCGTCCATCCTTCTGATCCGTTACACCACGCGAATTTCCATAGCACTACCAATGTAGATATTCTTTCACGTGAAATAAAGTGTCTATGTGATTCAGACTATTTTTTGGTCGATCCAAATCTGTGTGTTTCAAGCCTGTCTAATTTGTAATAAAACTCTTCATCATTCGCAACAATATTACAATCCCACAGACGCAACGCCGTATGTCTATCCCTAACCGATCGTTAATTCCACCGTTCAGATGAAGTCCATTTTTTTAGGGCCACCACCTCACCTTTATGGCCAAGAGTCGCTTTGTCACAGCCTCAGGATTGAATGACCCTCATTCTCGACGTATTTCTTTGGTAAGAAAACCGTTCCACTCCGAGAACTTCTTCCCAAGGTTCGTTATTTTATCCAAGAGTCTCCCACGTGAGTGCTTCCTCGAACACTACGATTTTGACAGCATCAATCTAGGGTGAACCTTTTTCTATCCGTTATATCTTCATAATTTTCTCTTCCTATTTCCTTTTTCTACGTTCATATCTCACACCTCATTAAGTAACAATTGAGTGCCTCTTGTTTGCACTATAGTAATAAAAAGATAGACATTGCATAGCAGTTTAATACTATTTACTTATTTTTTAATATTATTTTTAAATATCTTAATACCTTACTCAATTTCTGAAATGTATCTTTCATTATTCCTATTCAACATCGACCTTCATTCCGTTATAATACTGTCAATATAGTCGAATCTCATCGATTGATTAGACTTGACGTCCCCAGTATGTAGCGCACATACTACGCTACCCATTTTGCTCACAGACATACATTTTTATAATGTATCTGAAAAGTTTAAACTGTCTCTTTCTGATTGTTAACGATAGATTATGATGTATTGTGTTTTCGTTAGGCAGGATGAACTGTTTCACTTTTAATGGGACTCCATGATTTGATCTTCTATTGGGTCTTAAGTTCACTGCAGGCCTTACATGGAACATATATACAGTTTATTGTTAAAGATGATGGAAAAAATGGGCGGGCCTTTCTATTGCTCCAGGAAATATCTGACCCCTTCTGCCATGTTTCATCTGATATTTTAATCAGAAAATGATTACTGCTGCCAGTCTAGGGAGGCCCAGTCCTTACTTAGTGGCGACTTTTATATATCAAAATCGTTTATACAATCTTTTGTTTTTTTCGGGGGACTTGTTTTCCATTATGCAGCCTCTTTCCGCACAGACATAACGATAAAACCTGTCGTTACTTAATCATTATTTCCATCGAAAATGTTCAGATGAGCTTTGGCTCCATCATTTGAGACATTTATAACTGGGACACGCCGTGTCATAACCACGGTGTCAAAACACCTTTCCAAATGAAAGAAAAATTTCACGCAAAGAAATTACATTTCGTGGAACTGACTCCCGCGTGGATACTTCCCTGAACACTTAAATCTTGACTTCTCCATTACTTATCACCTACTCTATTCATATCATGTATGCACCTCATTCAGCTTTGCCATTTTGATTGTAATCGTTTGGTCTGCTATTCGGAATGTTAGTTTACTGTGCCATGCCAGACATTTCTTTCCGTTAGAATCTGTGTTGCACATTTGTAAATCTATCATTCTATGTATATCTCAAGATTTTTGCCGAAATTCAAATAAGATTCTGTAATGTTATCAGTCCTGATGCTAGTCCTTTTATCTCAATTTCAGAGCTCTGTATTGTGTGATATTTGGTATAAAAATATTTATATTCTCTTTAAAACTTCTCAAGAAAGATATTGATCTTATATTTCATGATTTGGAGGTGAAGGCGACCATTATTTACAGATCGGTTCCGAATAAAATGAGGATGCGTATGTGTGTGTGTGAAATGTCTGTGAATGAAGGGAATCGAATTTAGAACTCAATTCACAAGGAGAAACTTTAATATCAGCTGTAGTGATTCTTTTTTTCGCCACGTGTATGATTTTTTTCTGTTTGATCTTTATACTTACGCTCAATGCAAGTTCTTCCCCTGAAACCAGCTGGGCAGACACATCTGAAGGTCTTTTCATCATCAAAACACTTAGCGCCATTCTTGCAGGGCTCGAGTCCGCACGGATTTGCTAGAAATAGGCAAATTTCAGTGCGACTATAAGTTTAAAGGAATTAGGCGAAAATAGCAGCTTAAAGCAAAATCGAATGCATAGAGACATAGAATGGATTAAAAGATTTGTATTAAGTTCTGACTCACGTTCAGTGCAGAGTTGACCCTTGAAGCCAGGTTTACACTTGCAAAAGAACTTTTTTCCTTTGTTAAAGCACTCAGCTCCATTGTCACATGGTTTCAGTCCGCAAGGATTGGCTAACATAGAAAGAGATCAAAATACAGACATTCAAATATAATAGAATAATGCATAATTCTTTACAAACCTCTTAATATTTAACAAAGCTTCATGCAGAGTAATCTCTCCGTGTGAGTGGAAGATGTGTTCTCAGACACAGCTGTTGCTGATGCCTGAAACCACGAATAATATTTAACCATATATATATATATATATATGTGTGTGTGTGTGTGTGCGTGAGTGTGTGTGCGTGAGTGTGTATTTAGGCAGCAATCCTTCTTTCATGCACATTTCATTGAATACGACAGACAAGGTGCTTTTATTTAGTTTTTTATACAATTTCTCATACGATCTAATCATTTTTTTCCTTTTCAGATGATAAATTATATAAAAACTGTCCGAATGTTGTTTTTTTTTTATCCGAGCGCTTTCGGCTATACATTTAGCCATTTTCAAGGATTAAATATTTTAACTGTTAAATAAGAAATGAACACAATATCTTGACCGTCTTTGGAAAAAAATGAAAATATTTTATAAGACATACATATAACAAACTCTTTCTTATTTAACAGTTAAAATATTTAATCCTTGAAAATGGCTAAATATATAGCCGAAAGCGCTCGGATAAAAAGAACATACGGACAGTTTTTATATAATTTATCATCTGAAAAGAAAAAAGTATTAGATCGCATGAGAAATTGTATAAAAAAACTAAGTAAAAGCACCTAGTCTGTCGTATTCAATGAAATGTGCATGAAAGAAGGATTGCTGCCTAAATACATACACACACACACACACACACACACACACACACACACACATATATATATATATATATATATATATATATATATATATATATATATATATATATATATTATCAATTTAAACGATATTTTTATTGTGTAGGTGTATTAGAGTTACTATCCCAATTCCTATTTATTTACCTTAAACAGTGAAATGAGTAACAACCACATTACTTCTAGAAGTTCTACTAAAGAAAGATTGAGTCTCCAACAGGAAATGAACCTGTATCCACTTTCTATCAGGTGGACCGCTTCTGTAGTCGAAACGTTCTGCTATTAATTTGGCTACAGAAGCAGCGTTGATAGAGCAAGGTTTCAATTACCTTCTTAAGGAAAGCACATTTCTCCCTGGGACGTCTACGAATCTATGTCCTCTAGCTTCCGTTTCATACCCGAAACGTAAATAATGGTAATTTTTGAAAGGGTTTTCCATCCGACATTATTTTTATTAATTTAAAAGTTATTTTTAGTTTGTACATCGCCTAGATTAAGAAGTCTAACGATAAAAATTTAGGTTTAATAAATAGTATGTTTCATACATTCTTTGTTTTAATTAACTAATCTAATAATCTGAAATTATTTAACCCATTATCACATAGCATCCAATCGTTTAGAGAAGGGGATGACTAAAATTTGAAATCTCCGAGCCCTATGATTACCATTAACCAGTAAGGTAGATGAGGCAAAAAGAGTTAAAATATAATGCCTTTTGCTTTACATACATAATTTTTAATGTTTAGTTTATAAATTATGTTCATATGATAATAATATCAGCTCCTAATAAAACTCTAACACTATATATACTGTTTTTCTATACATATATACTCATAATAAATTTTGATTTATAAAAGATGCACAATGATATTTAATCAAATGGAACACCATACAGTATTTTCTTCTCGATAATTCTGAGGAATTCTAAACGAAAATTAAAGGCAAAATGTCTGGTCGTATTATACACATATACATGTTTTTCAGAAATGTTTACCCAGCTTAAAAACTTATTATTAAAATAGGAAGATTACAAATACACTCGATTTTGTTCACAAGAAAGTCTGCCTGTATTTTGATTCTTAGTATCCCCCTACATTTTCTTATCGGTGTTGAATTTTGTTCAAATTTGTGCAAAAAGAGGATCCAAAGCTTACCCAGCTTCATACAGATTTTCAGGAAATACCAACTTCTAATTGGTCAATAAACACACAAGTGGGCGTTGCAATCAGCCCACGTACAAATATTTTTCCAGTGCGTGACTAAGTCAAGTTTTCCCGCCATTTTCCTGTGATCCTATCATATGATTATATTAATTATAAATAGCAGATACAAGCTTGCTCTTCTCTTCTATTCTCCTGCGAAGATGTAACCTGAAAGGATCCCGTCTCGACCATGTTCGGTCAGATGTTAAGAGCATATTCACTCATGCGCGTACGTACAAAATTTTCCAAACTACATTACAAACATACGAACATTTCCAAACAAGCAACAAGAACTTTTCTTTTTGAAATAATCTTCTAAAGCTACAAGTTTCAGCATTTCTCAGCTTTATAATTCATTCAACTTTTGTGGCTCAGATAAAAATATTTAGCTTTCATCAGTAAAACTTTAATTCAGTCAAAGGAACATAACAACAACAAAATAGTAACCTTTATGCATGTACATCATTACACAAAAATAAATATAAATGTTGTTATAAAACCATTTTGGTTCCTTCTTGTTTTTCATATTTTGTGGTATTTTACGTTAAATATAAATCGTATGGTTTTAATAAACAGACATCTACAAATGGTCATATATATATTCACATAACATTTACAAATTTCCTTATCTTTCTATAAAGTTTTCTCCCTTCAAAAGAATGTTTTATTTTAATTTTCATAGTATATAATAAAGTCATATCAAACAAAAGAGTATGATAGATTAATTAAGACCTTAAAAACTATTACCGGGAATGTTTTGTTAGCGTCTTTCCCCGAAAATTAAAAATAAGTTATGAAACGGGAATAAGAAAAAAAACACGCAATGATTAAACATTCTGTTATTTGCTATTCTTTAATATCGTGAAAAATGAAATATTTTAGTGAAATACATGTACGACAGTTATTTTCCTGGATAATATAGTACAAATTTTTAAAAAATAATATAGGCATGGCTGTACGATGGGGTCGTCTTATACCCAAGGATGCAATTTATTCCTTGTTTTTAGTTTCAGAAACACGGGGTCGTTTTATATTGAAATCGTATTATATACAAGCAAATATGGTATATGCTGTTTTTGAATACGTATAATTAGGTTTCAAATTATTTACAATAAACGATTAAAACATTTAAAATAAAATAGAATATAATGCAGGAAAGCAAAGGGTAATTATCTCCCTTTGGTTGAGACAAAGTCATAAAGGTCCCGTGACGTCAAGTCATAGCGTGACGAATGGCAGTTGCTATGTAGGCTGCGAAGCAGAAGGATATGACAAGCACACTGAAGTAGGCTGAACAGAGGAACCAACATGCTCTCACCATAAACAAAGGACACCATTGAGTTGCCTTCTCCTCGTTTGGAAATGTTACAAGTAAGACATTCTCTCTTTTCACACTTTTCACACTGCTTGTTGTGTACATATGTTATAGTTTATCCGTGAGAGAGAGATTAGTAAGAAATATGTTATAAAAAGTCTTATTCAAAACAATGCATATTTGCCATTCCTTTCTTTCAACTGTTCTGTTGCGTTTGTCTATTAAGATGCTACTATACGGCAGGTATATTAATGCCTTTAATGGGGATAGGAAAACTTGTAATTTTTTTTTTATTTCATCGCACTCACTTTAATTACCGTATGTAGTAGAGTATAGTGCAAGTTTTTATTATCATTTTTTATACACAAGAAATAGGGGATCGCAATATAAACAGGTAATTTTTTTTTTTTTTTTTTTTTTTTTTTGAAGAGGTTAGAAATCATGCATTTTCGACGACCGGTTGCACTATACGGAGGTAATTTTTTTCGGAGAGGTTAAAATTAAGGCATTTTCAGTTACCTTAACCTGCCTGTTAGTCGTATACTCTCACGGTACGCCTGGCTGACCTTGTCGGCACAGGTAGGCTCCTTTAGTATGCCTTCCGTAGTTTAAATTATTTCTTTCTGTTGCTACATGAACAGCAGAATGACATTCACTATATCGCTTAAAATCTACATATATCTTATATAAATGGAGACTTAACAATGTTTGATTCTTACTCCAATTTGCGTTCAGCTTCGTTCGCACGTGTTTACATCGCTGAGGTATTGTTTTTCCAAAGGCGCCATCTTTTTTCTGATACTTACCTATACCGTATACGTCTCAGTTGTATTCGTTTTATCCTCCTCCTCTCTTTATTTACATTTATTCTTATTTATTGTATTCTTTACTGGTATTATTTTATCTTATAATTCTCCGTTACATATTCATAAAATATTTTGATAAAATGCACTCTGCACAGTGGATAAAGCCGTTCGTTAGATCCAGTGACAGGACACAATGAGTGTGAGTTCAATACCCGGTTAATGCAGTGGAGAACTTGCATTCGGGAATTAACAGAAGATAACTGACATCCATAGAAGAAGAGTATAAAAGTATAAACAATCACAATGCGTTTATAAGCAGGCTTTGGACTAAAACGTCCGTCTTTAACAAACGGAATATGGAACATCTTTACCATTTTAGCAAAAGACGGTATACTGCATTAATCACTAATGATCTAATTGAAGAATTCGATTCAGAAACATGCTTCATCTACGGTATTTCTTGGACATTTTCCTTCCGAATACCAAGTATAGAAATTTGTAAAATTATTTGAATGCACTTACACCAACTTCAAGAGGTCGAAAATAAATTATACTCTTATTTCAAGGCAGAACCTAAATAATCTTATACACGTGGCATTAAACAACCTGTGGACATATGGGATAAATTCACTGAAAACAATGGTTACTATCTTGATGATTAAATGCATCTCTATTAACAACGATTATCTATTATTAGTCATAGAGAACATCGAATAGAACTTTCCTTACAAGCTGATATAATTTTTCTAAACTATCCTCTTTCGCTTTTCGCAATTAACTCTCTGAACACGTTGTATCGGCTTATTAATAGGGAATGCTGGAAGCAATTTGTGGTACGGAAGACACCGAAGACAACTACTCCTGGTTTACTGTCTTACTGTTGCCAATGCCCTGATGTCTAATTACCGTAGACTTGGCAAACCAGCCAGGAAATGTGAATCAATTTGATTGTTCGTAAATAGCGCCTGTAACGTAATATTCATTATTGAGTTGTTCCGCACTTGTGGGAATAGGGTGAATCTAATAGCCTTACCCTTTTCTTACGTATTTATGTAAAAAAATCCGAGAATAATAATTCGTATTTGCGTTCGTAAGAAAATATATCAAAATGCCCATCATTTTGATCTGATGCGAATAGTATGACTATTATATTTCTATAAAACGAGTATACATCTGCTGGCAGTAATTGTTACGTCAAATATAAGTACATAGCCTCACATGAAAGCCGAATAAAGCTGTTCATATAAGCAACTTTGTAGTTTCCATTTGCTATTCTTCACTGTTGCTATGTTCACTTACAGAGACATTTCTAAAATAGTGAAATTTGTGAAAAATATCCAGGAATTATGTATCAACATGTAATCAGATATCAGGGTTAAGAATCTCTATCTATAAAAAGCAGGATGTGTATGTGTGTGTGTGTGTGTGTGTGTGTGTGTGCGTGTGTGTAACGAATGCACGGCTTCAATTTTCGACGGATTTGCACCAAAATTGATATGCACATGTTCCAAGTTAGCGGGAAAGACAAGACCGACTTTGCATTTCCCAACTCCCATTGATAGTGAAAATAATCGATATTTCATGCTTCTACGGCAGTTTTCATGTAGTTTGCGGCCATTTTCTACTGGCCAGAGTGAGAGCCAATAGCTGGCTGTCACGAATAGGCAGAAAGATACTACTGGTCAGCGTGAGAGCCAACAGCTGACTGACACAAATATTAACTAGCATGCTAGCATGCAAAAAATCGATAGCTGCATTCGTCACAAGTGGGAAAAATTTAAATCTGCATGACACTTTAATCCAATTGGCTCATTCGCTTGCTTAAACTTAACGTTGATTCTGATTCCGCAGAACTGGGTTGTGTGTGAAAAAGTATTTGTTGTTAACATTGTTTTTTCATTCGGTTTTCCCAGTTACGAGTCCTTTTTTAAAGCTGATCGTCTTGTGTTAATTTTGTTCAGTTCTTTTTCGTAACAGATTTAATGTTTAGTATAGAGCTTAGAACAAATTCGCAGTGTGAGATAGCAACATCAGCACGGCAAAGGGCACTCCTTTAAAGGCAAGGAAGGGCAAAAATATTTTAAGTCAAGTGATAGTGATTTCTGTATGAGTCGTGCGATTTTTTAATCAAGCACGGGCAATGCCGGGCCATGCTGCTAGTAAGGTATATTTTGCATATTATCTGAAACGTAGCTGAGTGATTGGAACGCCAGCATTGGGAGCATGAAGCCCGGATTCGAATTTCACTATAATCGATTATTCACGAGGGTTGTTTTTTTTTTATAATATTGGCCTAGAGAGACGACTCCAATATGCAACACCTTTGTGAAATGCACGAAAATCATACAATGGATTAACCCAAGTCTTGTGACTGAAATTGGGTAGGCAAAACTCTTTGAACGTTTTCGCTAACACAAAATCATTGTGACCGAGTGTTTGAGTGTACTGGTGTTATTCAACTACTGATCTCGCTCGATTAAGTGCTATCTCCCGGAAGTTAGAACTAAGGTCTGCTCTGCATAGCTGCAATATAAACTACAAATTGGCTCTGTGTGCGTTGAAAAATATACCGGCAACAGGGATTAGCTAGACTCCAGGTTCTTCTGAGTCAGACGGATACCTACTATATAGGAAAGATGTAGAAACAATGCAGTCAACGTGTATTTAAATTTTGAAATAATTTAACCCCGAATAACGATATTAAACAGGAATCTTACATTTGCAGCCTATCAAGCCATATAATAATTATTTGTGTATTTATTTATATATTTTCTGTCACATCTGTAGTGGGAAGGGAGATAAATGAACTTAAGATAGTAAATTCATGAGTGATTACTCCTTTCGTTGTTTTAATAATCTATTTATTAAAGACATTTTTATGTTTAACGTTGTTATTTTATAGATACAAGTATTTAAGCAAATGCTCTGTTTATGATAAACAGTATTAAATAACATTTACCGGCCTGAATGTCGAAAATTTTCATAGAAAATATTCGTTCTTTGACAGGATTCGAACCTGCATCCTATACGGAACCGTCATATAAATTTGACGTGCATTCAGGGCTTAAATACTGTTTATCATAAACAGAGCATTTGCTTAAATACTTGTATCTATAAAATAACAACGTTAAACATAAAAATGTCTTTAATAAATAAATTGTCGGACCTTGTCCATTTCTTAATAATCTATACAAATAAAATTTATCTGCATTTAAACAAAGTTACATCCCGAGCAAAATGATCCGTTTAATTAATCAGTTCCTTCACTCCTACGTTTCTTAGCTGGCAGTCTTATTTGTTCAAGCCTTTCATGTGAGGCACTCAGATACCTTTGCCTATTAAGTGATAGCAATATTTCCATTTCACTGTTATATTAAATGCATAAAATATTTCAAATGAAAAGATATTGAGTAGAAATATCCGGAATAATCAAGGAATCATAGATACCATTAAACATCTAAAAATATACAGTTCGGATAAATAATAAATTAAACTATTCATTGGCCTCTATTGTCGGTGTGAATCCTTTATCTCCGTTTTATTGAATCTCAATACAATTTTTCAAGACTTGTTTCATTGCATCTCACTATTAAATCTTTCTAACAATTGCCGTCATTCTTTTACTAGTATAAAAATAATAATCCAAATTACTTACGTTCAACACAGGTTTCTCCCATAAAACCAGGCGTACAGATGCACTTAAAATGTTCCTTTTCATTGATACACTTCGCTCCGTTCTTGCACGGCTCAAGTCCACATGGGTTTGCTAGAAAAATAAACGTATTCTTTATATTTTTAACACTACACATGTTACGAAGAAGAGAATGTGTTATAGCATCATTTCAGTTTTAGTAGATGTGAGTGTGTCAGATATATGCTATTGAGTGTCAGATGGGTATATGCTATTCGGAATGTGGATAAAAATATTTCTTCCTGTCTTATTTTTCTGAATTAAGGGAGTCATTCTCTTATAGTTGTCTGAATATCGTATAGTTTTGTTAGGTTTTGAGTTCCATATTGCTAGCCATTTTCTTTTGATATATTTTTTATTTTATTTTGTTTCTGAAGTTTGTATGGGATACCTCTTATAGGAGCAGATCAACCAGGCTGCCCCTGATAAAACCACTCTAACGGACAAGGAGCATTACCTGGGCTCATAATCTCACTAATTTGAAACTAGTGGATTGGAAACGTGTAATATGGTCCCGTGAGTCACAGTTACATTTTTTTAAGAGCTGGTGGCAGATTTTGATCGCAGAACAGAATCTATAAAGTTTATATGTTTAATCAGAGCCTTGAGTGATTATTGGGTCTCAAACCCAACTCAGACCTCAAATGGAACTCGTACACACGATACATTGTAAAGATGCACGAAAAATGGTTGGTTCCCTATACCGCTCCTGCGAATATCTGACACCTCGTACTATCCTCTGCCTTTACAAAAGCCAAAGCAGGCCTAAAATGGAGTACTTCTGTCATATTTGGGCAGGAGCTACCCAGTCCTCATTTTCCAGTCACGATAGAGTCCAAAAGTGATTCCTCGTCTCTGTGGGTGACAAATTATTTTCCACCCTCCAGCCTCTCTAACAGACGAGATATAGAAAGCATCTCACGGCTCTATCACTACTTCCACGGAATATGCTCAGATGAACTACATTCCTTAGTTCCACCAGTTCTAACCTTAACGACTAGGACCTGCCATTGTAGCTAACCACTGTAATTCCCTTCATATTCTATCCACTCGAGAAGTTTCTTCCCGCAAACCACTTCTCCGTGGAACCGATTCCAAAGAGGTTATTTTTTTTCAGATCACTACAATTGTAATCTTTTCAAGTCTAGGATTAACCGTTAACTTCCCCACCTATCCGCATAATCTATATCTCTTATTCTGTAGGCCTCTAGCTCCACTTGCTACTTCTACCGGGTGAATCTCACTGTAAAAAACGGAAAATGAATCCCAACCTTGAAGAAGCGGTGTCAATGGAAAGAAACGTCCTTCTGAAAAACCGTTTTTTTTTTTTTTTTTTTTTTCGCGGGTATGAAGGTCCATGTTTGCCGAAAATTTAGTAAAGTGAGAGCACAATACGAGAACCGGAATTAAGAAGGCAGAAGGTGGCGATTGATATTGCATCGATATTTTTGAAGATCACAACTGGAAAGCAAAAAGCCAGAAAAGATTTCCACAAGCGAGAAGCGCAAGAGAAGAAACTGTTAGCATAGGACTTATAGCATTGTTTATGGTTTCGTAATGTTATGGGATACGTTCGCGTTAAATTTGTTGGGTCGGCTCATTCGCTGGAACATGGTATCGACTATTATTAACCGCTTCATTTCACAATTTCGTGACTATTTGCTTCCATTCAGTGCCCTGTTGTACGCCACCCACAAAAAAAAAAAAAAAAAAAATTGCAGCAGGTCAATACACCAGGTCATTTAGACCAACTTGCCCAGAATTCGTTTGACGAACATTCTGGAGATTTCTGTCGAATGATGTGAACAGCACGTTCGCCTGGCAATTCTTTAATCGGGCGTCAATGTGATTTGGCGGACGCATGATCCTGCATATAGAAATACCAGAAATACTATAAAGATGGCCTGACTTGATATCTTGCTAGGGCTTTCTATCTATTTGTGGAATCAATGTCACATCGAGTTGCAGCACTTCACCAGACTCTCGAGGAGGGCCTTCTACGATTCTAGGTACATATCCTATGAATTTTGACACATCAGCATATAACGAAAAGCCACTTCAATAATTTCTAAAAGTAAATCAATCATGTATTTTTAATATTTTCGTTTTCGAATTGCTAAATGTTTGTTTATTATTATAAATTATGTGCATCCTTATTATTATAAATTAATCTTATCCAAGAGAATTTAAGAGAAAACATTTGTGGTATATACACAACATATGCAGATTATCTCCAACAATGTTAGCCATTTTGAATTAATAATTACTGAGAAAGTATTTTTGAAAAGATTAGGTTAAATTCAAACAATTTACCATATTTATTTTACATTACTCTCTTTCTCACTCATTAATTCGCTTATTCACTTTCTGTGTGTCACATTCATCCAAGATATGGACGTTTATGCCTCTCCACACCTTTCTGTCTTTTGTTGTTTTCAGCAAAACTTACACTTTTACGATTTCTTTTAGTTTTGTGATTCTTGTTCCACCGTTTTGTTACTCAAGTTTTTCAAGTAGGTTACTTCTCGACATATGCCATGTCTTTTCAGTGCGTCGGAGATGTTTCTCCACAGCTTCCTGTCATTTATTGTTTTCAGTAATAGTTGCTCTGTTACAGCTCCTCTTTGTGTTATAGCTTTCAGTCTCAGAATCTTCAAATAGGTTCTTTTGATCTCCCTTCAGGACGTGTGTGATCATTATTCTCCACAGCTTCCTTTCTTTCATTGTTCTCAGCAATAGTTGTTCTTTGACGAATCCTCTTTGTTGTGTGGTTCTTGCTCTTCCGTCTATTTGTCCAAATTATTCAAGTAGTTCTTTTTATGTGCCTCCAGTACACGAACGATTATGGTTCTCCACAGCTTCCTGTTGCATATTATTCTCAATAGTATTTGCTCTTTTACAACCCCTCGTCGCCTTTGTTACTTGTTCTTTTTTTTTCTCTTTCTATGTGCCATATCCCTTCAGGACTTGAGCGATTGTGGTTCTCCACAACTTCACGTCTTTCATTGCTCTCAGAAGCACTTGTTCTTTGCCTTTGTAGATCTTCACCCTCCATCTATTCGAAGGAAGCACGCAACCGAAGTCGTTTCTCAGGCATGCGCATGACGAGGCCAACTCGACGTAGCTGTCACTCGATAAACAAGTCTTCGATGATTATTGACTGCGCATGTTTCCGAATTTTGGCATTCTCCATATCATCGTCATTAGCGAACACGTGAACGATTCACCGTGTCCTGTCTACAAATAACACTCGGACTATGTTAGTGGGATAATGTTCTCTATCCTCAGAGTAAACGAAGTACTTACGTTCAACACAGGTTCTTCCCATGTAACCCTTCATACAGACACATCTGAATGTTTTTTCATCATTGAAACACCGGGCTCCATTCTTGCAAGGCTTAAGTCCGCAGGCATCATCTACAACAGTAAAAAGAATATATTAAGTTTGATTTTCAGTTTAAACTAATTAACAAGAAGTTGTCAAGAATACTATATGGAAAGAAAATATTAAAAATATACGAGATGAATCTCAAAATATTATATTTTCTAAGAACTTTAGAAGCACTTAGTTTTTTGAATAACAATATATTGTATACAGAATCCGAGTCTTCTAATTTCTGAGATGAGTTATTATGATCACTTGCATTATTTTCATTATTCGGACTGTTATCCTCACCTTCATTGCCATATTCACAACGTTTTACCTGAAGAAGTCCGGAGCGTATAACGGCCGAAACATTGTGAATATGTGTTATGGTAATTTACCAACTCACGCATAGACTCTCCCAGCTATAAATGGGAGCAGCTTTGCCTTTTGGAGAGGGAAGTTTCTAGCAGTCAGCTCTGACAGTCGGACCGAACATTCTTGCTGTAACACTCTTGTTTCTGTTAATTTTTTTGTTTAACTCAATTCCTATCTTTGTGTCTTTATTTCTGGATCTAACAAGGCCATAACAAAATGGCAATAAAGATGTGGATAACAGTCCGAAAATGTTGATAATGCATAAAAATTAACTTGTTAAGTCATAACTTTCCCAACTGCCGTAACGTAGTTTCCCTGTGCCTTTTCTATATATATTTTCAGGATAATTGTTCATATGAGCTTTCCTCTTTCGTGGCTAGACTTTACAAATTTACGGGCAGTACTAGACTGGTAGCTAGTTCTCCTTATTTTACAGGTGAAATAGCTTGATGCTACACATATTTGAAAATAGCCAACTGGTAAAGCACATCGTATGAAACAGTTATTTTCCTACAAAGGAGGACACGGGTTCAGTTTTTTATTCAGATTTCTTGAATGTGCAAGCCGATGGACATAATACACACTGTTGTCGGAGTTAACTCCTCCTTCAGTACGTTAACCCTTTCACCAGGGGTCTCTCTTCCCTGGCTATAAATAGCCGCTGACCCTTCACCTCTATCTCTTTTTCCTTCAGGCCTGTGCACTGACACCTTGAGGTAAATTCTTTTTCCTTCAGGATTTCAGCTATCAACCTCGAAATGTAGGCGCTAACAAGGGATAGCGTGGAAACACGCTAAGCACAATATACACACACGCGCGCACATACAGAATATTCATACACACACGCACATACAGAATATTCACACACGCACGCACATACAGAATATTCACACACACTTCGTCCTTTGTACTGTTTCCATGTATTGTAACTTGTTATTAATATATATTTGTATATACATATATTATCGGTCTTGTGTTTTGTTTGCTTTCTTTACCTTCTTCTTTGGACTTAATCAAAGTCCAACCTTTTTATGTAGTTGGGCTCGGCGGGCAGGAGTATCTGAACCTAACTTGCGTTCCTTCTACGTCTGACTTCTATCAACAATATAACAGCCACGCCATGAACCCTCAACAAGTGGTAACCGCCACGGCCCACTACACTGTTTAAAATAAAATAAATAGGGATGCTATAAGTCCTATGCTAACAGTTTCTTCTCTTGTGTTTCTCGCTTGTGGAAATCTTTTCTGGCTTTTTGCTTTCTAGTTGTGATCTTCAAAAATATCAATGCAATATCAATCGCTACCTTCTGCCTTCTTAATTCCGGTTCTCGTATTGTGCTCTCACTTTACTGAATTTTCGGCAAACATGGACCTTCATACCCGCAAAAAACAAAAAACAAAAAAAAACGGTTTTTCAGAAGGACGTTTCTTTCCATTGACACCGCTATTATTTTAACTACGTTCACCCCCCCCCCCGGCAAAAGCAAATGAGAGAAATGTTCAGAAAATGCATTTTTCAAAATTTATAATTTGAGTTACTCGTTGTTATGCGTTTATGCAAATTTTCTTCTTCACAGACTTTTTTTTTATAAAATTTATCAATAAACGTTTGTTTTCATATTTATAAAACCTTAAATAATAATCATTGCATTGTTTTAGTTTGTTTGCAGTTTAAGAATGTTGAAAATATAAAACTATTTAATCATTAGTGTTTAATATTTTTGGTTTATATTCTCAAA